GAAGTGAATGAATTTATAAAAACTTGTTTGTGACTTCTCTAGGCGCCCTAGACTCTTTCGTAAGTAATTACTTGCGAATCTTTCAAATTCCCTATCTGAGTGGTTCAGGTTGTGGTTACCAGATGTTTCATCGAAATCTTCACAAATCTCCAGTCCCCCCGCAAATGTTCGCTCCAGATTTCATTTCTATATATATCAGTTCCAAATTTCAATAATTTCGGCATCTGGGTTTCCAAGTCAGGGAAACTACGATTCGAAGTATAGGAACTTTTACAAAGCCCGATCAAGTCTTCTAAACCCCATTCTGAGTAAAATTTTTGAACACGCTGCCTGTATTATCTGCTTGTCAAACATATGAAAGACCGAAACATCATAAACCAGCAATTTGGATTCAGAGCGCGCTATTCCACTGTGCCATCAGCTGGTGAGGGTGGCGCAGGGGGTTACCTTATGAGGTCAACGTTCGCAGGTACATGAACGAAAAACCGAATACCCTATAAAGTGAAGGTACACTTTCCCTTTATGCTCAGAAAAGAATTCTATGCGAAGCCCTAATCATAATGTTTCCTTATGTTTCCTTGAAACTCTACAAAGTCCATAAAATCCCTAAAAATTCTAAAATTTTTTTAAATTTCCCAAAAAACATTAAGTGCTATTAAAAGTCATATCATCATGCTCTCGTGCATGTGTTAAATCCTGCTGCAGGTTGGTAACGCCAGTTTCATACTTCCGAACTACCGGTGAGAGGGCGCATGTTCTCAGACGTAGCTGAAAAATCAGCAAAGAAAAAGCAAAAAAAAATCAATAGCCAGGTGTGTGGGATAGGTGTTGTTTGTATCAAGCCCTACTGATGAGAGTCTTAGCAGACAATCCCGGAACGAAATACCTTTTCTATTCTTCCTCATCACTGCATAGTTCATCTCTCCGAGTAATGTACGGCGCTAAAGGCCAGTAGACCGGAGATGGGGCAAAAAACTCTTTCTCGTTACATACACCCGCCTTTAGGGGTTTGGGATGTGACATGTTTAAATTTTAAAAGAAATCTAGGGAAGTACTAAGTAGTGATATTTAAATATATTGGCAATATTTTTATTTCTGCTTTTAAACATAAATTAAGATGAAGAAAGTAATATTTATTTAAATATCAATATCCAATAAGAAAGTATATACGAAGTGTAATAATAACATAAAAATCAAAAATATACTAGGAAAATTATACGTTCATATTTTATCAATGAGTATTCCCTTTTATGTATCATTGCCGCGTCCGTGACTTTGATCAGTAGCTAGTCTAGTGAAGATGGCCGAAAACAATGGCAGTGGTTATTGAGCTAACTTTGCGTTCTCCTGGTACTTGTCAACAAAGAAGTTATCTTTCATTAAAAAGTAACTGAAGCACATAACATAGTCACACGTGAGTACGGTTTCTAATCTGTTTGTCGTTACTACCAGAAATTTTAACCTTCTCATATAATACCATGGTCATTTAATGTTATAAGAGATAGCAATTGTGCTTTACGTCTTTTCTTACTGTCAGCACGTCTTACATTATAAAGATCGTTATAAAGGTTTTTTAAGATGTTCAAAATATATTTTCCTAAAGTCTTCATTAAACGTCCGCGTGCGCCTATGAATATCATATCTTTTAAATGTTTGTGCACTTCCATGATTTTTCGATCATAGTAATTTGAAAACTACTTTTAAGAATTTTAATTTAACTTATTTGGAGAAACTTTCTATTTTTTTAAATTACAATTCATATATTATTTAATGTATACTTACATATTTATCATACATCATTTATGTAAGGAAGCGTCAGCAATAACGATTTTGCATGATGCTGTTTATATAAAATATTGTTATTAATTATTTTAATTTTTGTAAAAAAAAAA